CCGCAGGGCGCTGTCCCCAGGCCCGCGCGGCCCCCGGGCGCCTGGCTGTTGGCGGCTCACACATTCCCTTCTTGTTCAAACTTAGGCTTCGGGCCTTGTTTAGAGTTCTCAGAAAAGCAGCCCTGCTTCCTGCGCTGAGCTCCGAGCGGGAGCCCGCAGTCCCTCGCAGAGGCCGTGCTGCCCCCCACCCCGCGGGCTCGGGGCGCGGGTGGGCGCGCCCCCCGGTGCTGCGGTGCTGCGGTGCTGCGGACGGCGCCAGGCCCCCGGGACTCCGCCGACCCGGGAGAGTTCTCTCGCGAAACGGGACGGCCGAGGTTCAGCCTCCAGCTGGACTCGCATTTTAGCTAGCCGTGTTCTGGTGCAGTGAGCTGGGTTTCTTAGCTCTTAGTAAGCGGCTGAAAAGCAGTGGCGTAGGAAAGTCCCAAATGACACAACGTGGCATAAGGTGATTTGTGAAGAAATTAATCCTTGGAAAATGGGTTACCATAGCCTTGGGTAGAACAAGCCACAGGCCCGGAAGTTGCTGAGCAAGCTGTTTTCCCTATTTCGCGCCTTGAGCATTGCTTCAGTACATTACCAGGCAAGCACCACAAACTCCTGAATCCCCCTCTCCTCTCTTCTTCTTCTTCTCCATCTCCCCTTCCTCCCTCTCTCCTTCCCTTTCCTTTTCTCTCTCCTTCTTCCCTTCCTCCTTGTTTCTTCTCGCTTACAGTCAGAATTCAGATGCTACTTAACTCCTTGACTAGAAAGCATACTGGTCTTGGGCCTAGACTTCCACCTCCTGCTCTCGCTGTTCTTCTCTACGTGCGCAGAGAGCAGCGAGTCCATTTGTTTCCTCCTTCCCTAAGATAGACGGGCATGGCCTTGGAGCTGGGCCAGCTTGCCGCCATCTCCCCTCACAGGGGCTTCGCGGCGCAGCCGCAGGTCCTAGGTAGTACTCACGTAGCGTCTCCAGGCTGGGAGCCTTGCTATTTCATAGTCATGGAATGTATTTCTGTTAATTCAGTTGGAATGTTTTCTGTAGAAAGTGCTCTGCAGCGTTAGTAAGGGCATGGTGTATAGTTTTGGTCTTGCGTCTGCGTCCGTTTGTACTCACTTGTCTTCTTTGTTTCAAGGGCGTGATCCCCTTGGAGTCCCTTGGTAAGAGGGGTTACCGGGTGCCTCCTTCAGGAACAGTGCAAGTGGTATGTGTTTTCTAGCCTACAATTGCAATAGTCACTCTCTCTCACATGTAGAGCTTAGTGCTTTCTCCTGCCACTGCTGCGCAGCGACTCTGGTAAGTAACAGTGGGGCTGCAGCGTGGTTTGGAGTTGCCATGCTCTGCCCAGAATGGCTTTTTGGGGACCCCATGAAGGGAAGCATTAATAGATTACTGAAGGAGAATGCTTTGGAGACATAGTCCATGGTCATCTGCACAGCTTAAAGCTGTTTTCCAGATAACGAGGCCCTAGCGTTCTTGGTGCCTTCTGTTTACTGTGAGAAGGCACGTCGAGATCCATCTCTTTAAAAACAGATGCAGGTCTCAGCATTGCTTCGGCGGGAAAGCTTGGCACAGTGCTGGGGTCTGCAGTGCAGTGATCTGATCGAGCAGGCTGGGACCACTAAGTGGAACCCGCAGTCTGGCCAGCGGCAGGTAGGCAGGCAGGCAGGCAGGCAGGCAGGCCGGCCGGCCTCTGCCCTTTAGTCTGGCAGCTCTCGTCACCTGGGCTGGTGATCCCAGCTGCAGCGTCTGACCCTGGCGATGGCGCCCCTCCAGGCCTGCTTGGGTCTCTTGTGGAGCTGGGAGACTACAGAGCTGCCCAGAACCTGGCATGCTGTGTCACCCTGGGCCACCAGCACTGTGTGGTGGCCACCGGTGTGCTTCACAGTACATGGAAGTGAAACACAGCCCCTCAGACCCTGGTCCACAGAGCAGGCGGCGCAGCAGAGTTAAGCGTGACTTCAGTCCATGGGTCCCCCGAGCTGCAGGAGTGACAGCCTCTGAGTTGGGTCCCTCCTGCCAGCTGGTGGCTGACTTCACAGTGTCATGCTGATGTGACCGGCACACTGCCCTCTCGCTCTGCAGGCACCAGCCAGGCGGTTCCTTCTAACTGTGAAGCTTGGCTTCTCTCCTTCCATGTTTTGATTCTGCACAGCCGTTGTTTAGCGCCTGCTTCTGGGTGTGGGCGTGTACGAAGGGCCCGCTAGGCTAGACCGCATCGCATGGCGATGTGCCTTCGTCCAGACTCGGGTGATGCGGTGAGGGGGAGGGCTGCGGAAAGCGCGCCAGCCTGGCCGTGGGGTGCTGCTGACTGGGACGGTCAGGCAGCAGTGATTTCAGGGTGAGGACGTGGAGTGTTGCCAGCCTGCTCTGGGGCTAATAGCAATGAGATGTATTTCATAAACCTTGAAAGGATTTGAAGTAGAAACGTCTCTGAGCTTGTGTAGTATTATAAGTATTTGTATATAAAGCAACAAAGATTCTAGTTTTATTGAACTTGTGTTTTTAAAAATTCTGTTTACTAACCATTAAAAGGTGAGAAAACTTAATATTCTGCTTTGAGAATTTTCCATTTGATTATTATCTACAAAGCTAAAGTTTGAAATTATAGAACTAGAATATTTTAACCCTATAAGGGTGTGTTTTGCTGGAATTAACCTATCCTGAAAATCTAAACAGAGAAAAAAATATATTGTTTTGTATTAACATGAAATCTATAATTAAAGATTTTGATTTATTACAGGACTTTATAATATTGTGAAATAAAAGGTCAAAACTCGGCAGCAGCATTGAACGCTAGCGTTAGTTAGTCCACGCCGCGTGGCGGCGGCAGGATGAGTTCTGTCAGAAGCTGCTTAGTTTTGGCGCAGCCATCTGACGCCCTCCCCGGGGCCCCGCGTCCCTGCCCCTGCAGAGCGCTCCTCTGTTGTCTCTGCAGACCTTATTCAACCCCAACAAGACTGTGGTGAAGATGTTCGTGGTGGTGTACGACCTGCGTGGCATGCCCGCCAACCACCAGACCTTCCTGCGGCAGAGGATCTTCTCCGTGCCCGTGGAGCCCGAGGCCAGGACCAGCACCGGCCAGGGGCGCACCCGGCCCGCGGAGGAGCGCCTGTTACGCTACCTCATCCATCTGAGGTGACGTTTTGGGAGCCCTGGTGACTGTACCTGGGGCGTGTTGTGGTGTCGGGTCAGAAGCAGGTCCTAACAGGCTGCACCTGAGGCTGGCCGGCCGGTGCGGTGGTGCCACCAGAAATTCCCTGCCTGTCGCTTGCCCCACCGGGGCTCCAGCCAGGTCTGGGCACAGCTGTCAGGGCCGGGGCAGCGCCTTCCCGTGCCCGTGGCCAGCGCTCCTTCAGCTGGTGTTTCCCTGTGTCCAGTAGCACCCCACGGCCAGTAGCAGCATCCCTGCCCAGTAGCCCAAGGCACACAGGCACCCAGCACAGACAGCAGTGGGACCTGCCGGCTGTCCTCAGCTCTTGGGCCACTTGGGTGAGACGGCTGCTCCTGCCGAGCACCGCCATTCTCTCACCTGTGCTGTCTCAAGACAGGTTTCAGTAGTGACTCGAGTGGGGGAGCCATCTTCATCTGACCAGATCTTGGAAGGCTGGCGCCCTAACGTGGATCGGCCTGGGGGTCTCGCAGACGCAGGACTCTGGGCACAGGCAGTGGCGACCCCCGGGGCTGAGATGATGCCCAGCTGTCGGGAAGAAAGCAGAGGGCCTGAGGGCCGGGCAGGGCAGGGCATGGACGGCAGAGGCGGGGACAGCCTCGGGTCTGCGGTGTCCCTGGGAGTCGGGGACTACAGCAAGAGTGAGGCTCCCTGTTGCCGTATTAGTATAGATCATCCTCAGAAAGTTTGGCTGCTCAAGTGGATGTGCGTTAAAGACCTGTTTCCTGAAGGTGTCTCTGTTTTTGCGCAGGTTCCAGAGTTCTAAATCTGGAAAGATCTACCTCCACAGGGACGTGCGGCTCCTGTTCTCCAGGAAGTCCATGGAGGTCGACAGTGGTGCAGCGTATGAACTCAAATCCTACACTGAGTCGCCAACCAACCCTCAGTTCTCACCACGCTGTTGACCAGGAGTGACAAGTGGAAGTGTTGCTCAGGCCCCCGGTTTGAAGTAAAGATCCAGAGAGGAGTGGAGCACGCTGACAGCCGGGAGAAAGCAGACCCCTCCACGCCCAGACCAGTGGCCCAGAGGTGCCCTGCTGTGGAAACCACTTCCTGGACACGTTGCAGTTGCAGAGGCCCCGTTAGTTAGTGTTTACATGTTTCGTTTCTATTATTTAATATTTAATGTTTCCCTTAATACTCAAGCAATGTTTGTCTGTAGTGTTCTTATGTAGCACAAATCTTATGTAAGATCATACTATGTATTTTTGACGTTAACGTTGGAATCTGAAATATATGCACACGTCTTTAATTTTGTGTGATGTGTTTTAAATGCTGTTCATCTAAACTATTGAGAATGAACTGTTGAGCTTCCCGAAGATGAATGCACTATGCAAGCATGTGTACCTTTTCTATTTGGAGCTGAGTCTGGCCACGGGGCGGGCAGCCCTCCCTGCTCTCCGGGAGGCGCAGTCGGCCTGCTGCTGCGCTGCCTGCTCCCAGTGCTCAGGCGGGTCTATTTTTCCTTAATCCCTACTCCAGAGGCTTTTCAGCAAACTGCTGTCCCATGCTAGAAATTTTCTGAAATTGTTAAGATATGGACTTTGAAAACAAATTAGTATTTATATTGTAAATATATGCCAAAAAACTAAAAACAAAGTGTATTTGGCTTTTATTTTTAGTTGAGATATTTATATGCTTGGGCGAGTTAGCACATCAGGCAGGTGCCAAGGTGGCTCAGCATGTCGGGCTTCTCTGGGTCAGCCCCGGAAAGGCCACCCAGCAGTGGGGAGAGGGCCAGCGCCCCACAAGAGCCAACCCAGACTGAGGAAAGCCCCTGCAACAGGAGGAACATGTGTCACCGCTGCTCCACGAGGGTGTGGCCGCAGGCTGTGGGATGACCAGTCAGAGCCTCCTATAAACCCTTAAAATGCTGGCTAAAAGGAAAAAAAGATACTTGTGTTCCTTAAAACTTTTTAAAGTTTTTCAGTCTACAAATGCGTGAAGCTCTGTTGTTAATGTCAGGTTGTGTGGAAAGCACCTGGCCTGGGACTCCGGGACGCAGGCTGGGACTTGGCTCAGGCAGTTCTGGGGCCTGCGATGGATCCTGTAGGGTCTGGGTGCCAGAGAAGATGGTGACAGTGGCCTTGCTGCACTTGCTGTCCTTCAGGTGCGGGGTCCGCGATCTTGTATGCCTGTGTGTGCAGGCAGGCAGGCTGCAGGCCGGCCTCACAGTCTTGCCAGTCTTAGGGTGTTGTGTTGTTGTTGCGGTGGGTTGGTGAGTGGGTTTGAGAGTCTTTCTGGCCTCAAACTTGGGCTCCTCCCACCTCAGACTCCCAACGTGAGCAAGCTGGGCCAGTGGTTTACCACTGACCCACATCCCCAACCCAAATTTTTGAAATAAATATTTAATTAAATGTACTTAGACCAACTAAATGTGGGAGAAAAGTCAGTAGTGATTGTTTTTATTATTGTTCAGTTGTGGGTTTTGTTTTTGTTTGTCTGTTTTTTGTTTTGTTTTGTTTTTTCTTGGTCTTTTTGAGAGAGGGTCTTGCTATGCAGCTCAGACTGGCCTTGAGCTCACATTGTACCCAGGCTGGTCTCTAAACTTTTCAACGATCCTCTTCCCTCAGCCACCCAAGGGCTGGGATTACAGGGGTGCACTACCACACCTGGCTTTTACTTGACCTTTCGAGAGAGGTTTACCCCCCAACTAGTCTGTGCACCCAGGGTTTGCACAGACCCCACGCCGCCGCCCTCTGGGGCGCTCTAACACATCTTCTGACCTTTCTCGGTATGTTTCAGAAAGGTGAAGAAGTATCGGCTGGTTTTCTGCTGCCGGTAGCTGTCGCAGCTGGACTAGTTAGAAGGAGACATTTGCTCTTGCTTGTGGCTCTAGCGCCCCCGGCCCGGCCACTGTACCCCAAGGTGTTGCCGCCACATCCCAAGCACCAGGCTCAGTGCGTGACGGGTGCGGCCAGTGGGTGCCTGTCCTCTTCTGGTTTCTCCTCCTCTGTAGCTTTGGAACATAAAACTAACTTTGTCCTCAAGGCTTAGAAATATGGCTTTATGTCAGACCCACATTGATTCTTTAGAATAATATTCATGAACTATTAATTTTATTAGTTTTATTAAACAATGAGTAACAGGAAAAATCACCAAAATAAAGTTTTTAATATTTACTGAGTGTTTATAAAAAAAGCATCACATTTTTCAACATTCACTAGTCTAAAAAAGATCAGAAATAAGTATCTATATGAACTGTAATGAAAAACCAATAGCAGGGCTGGTGAGATGGCTCAGTGGTCTACAGCACCTACTTAGAACAAGCTTAGCAAAGCATCAGGGACCGCGGTTCAATCCCCCAGTGCCACATGCCAGCCAGCCCCACCCCCTGGTGGGCTGAGCTGGCCACACACACAAAAATAAAATTTTTTAAAAATAATAAAATAAATAAATATTAAAAAAAACAATTGTATTATTAAAAGAAAAACCAATAGCACTCTACCAAAAAAATGATATGCGGTCACCGCACCCGAGGCAGTGCACGCTTGCCAGCAGCACTGGGCGTCACTCACACCCACAGCGCACGCCTTTGCCTCCCGGATGTTAGTAGGACAGTACGCTTTTTTTTTTTTTTGGTACTGGGGATCAAACTTAAGACCTTGTACTTGCCAGGCAAGCACTTACGCCGCTGAGCTATCTCCGAGGCCTATGGGCCATACTTGACATCTCAGCAGTCTTTTGTCAGGTTTTTATTATATAGTGTGTAGTTAATATGAACTTAAAACATGAATAAAATGAATTATTAAATTCTTAATGGGTATTGTATGTTTAGACATCAACCTTTTCACGTCTGCTGTTGGCTTGCTTACAGAACCTAAAGCATAACGTTAGAAATAAAAACCCATGTGAACTACAGTGTAAACACTGAAGCCTACCGCAGAAATAGGCTGCTGTCACGCCCACGCAGCCCCACACGTGGCAGGGCTTGTCTGCACACACGTGTCGCCTACTGACGCACGCACATTCTGTTCTCCCGTCCCTACCTGTAGGCACAGCTGGTCCTTTTGGTTCTCCTGTTGTCGCAGCAGGTCCTCATGGTGCTGCCCCTGCCTGCCCACCTGCCAGCTCAACGGTGTGCTCCACACTATTTTGTGTAGTTGCCTGAGCTGAAACTTCTTCCCCTGTTGTATAGTCTTATGAACGCCCATCCCAACCCACCAAGAAAGTTCTTCCATGATATTTTGTTCTTATTATTTTCTTTGGAAACTATCAAACTGTGCCACACATTTAGGATCAAGTAAAACACGACCACTGGTCAAAACTTTGTGTTTCAAGTGACATCATAGTTGCTGCATAACTCAACAACATCTACTTCATACTTAGTTTTGTTGAGAGTTTCCATTTCAGTCTTCTATTTTGTCAGGATTTTCCTATCAGTGTTTCCATCATGGGGAAATGTTGACATCAGCAGTACCAGTTTACTTTTTCTTTGCCACATACAAGACCAGTGTCATCTTTCTAAAATTCAAAGATTGTACTATACAATTCTCTGTTCTGAAATTGCAACATTTTGGCTGGCGCATGTTTATGATACCAACACTTTGGAGGCTGAGGCAGGAGGATTGCTGTGAGTTCAAGCTGGCCTGAACTGCATATTGAGACCCTGTCTCAAAAAGACCAAAAAAAAGTAACAAAAGAAATTACAACATTTCGTTTGGAATGTCTGTTACAATCAAATGTTACACATCAATTGAAAATTGATTAACCCATTGTTCAATGTCACATTCTGATCAGTTTGGGCGATGGGAGCAACAAGTCTGTTCACAACTTCATTTGCTTTGTTACTATACGAATAAGGAACTGAGTTCCAGGATAAATGTCTAAACTGAAAGCACAATAAGTCTTCATCTGCAAGGGCATACATTTTTTTTGCACTTTTTAAATTAATTTTATTGAGAAACAAATAGCAATGAGACAGTTTCAAAACAGGTCAGTAGGACACTTACAATAATGAATACACTGCACATTGTTGTCTTCGTAGTGGTTATTCATAGTACAAGAGGCAGACAGGATATTCTGTCCACACACTATTAGTACAAATCTTTCTTCTCGACTTAACAGAAAGTAGCTGTATATCTACCCTAACTATTTTGTATATACGGATACAAAATGGTCCTTCATTTGTGTCCTCTTTTTTTTGTTTAGTTTTGTCAGAGATGGGTATTCCACTGCCATTTAAATATTGTAGGTGTGTGAATTCAGCAAAATAATCCACTATAGTCCAGTAATCCATAATAGTAGCGGGTTATCCATAGGACTGGCAATGTCAGAAGTTGTTGACTTGAGCCTTTTACAGCTCTGCATATTAATGTGGCTGTACTTTTTATACCTCGTTTTTATACTTTTCTACTGGACAGTTAAGACCAAGATAAAGCAAGACCTATATAACAAGAAATGTAACTTTTGTATCTGCCAGGGTCAGTCAAATCCCCTCTGGAACTCTTTACCTCAGATTGTAGAACCTTTGTCAGTGTCAGCCATGTGGATGAGTCACGGCCATTGCTTGGCCAAT